AAAAAAAAAAAAAAAAAATCAACCTTGTTCTTGTTTGCTTGGCTTACTACAAATAAATCACAATTGTAGTGGGGAGGAAGAAATAAGACTGGGATGGGGGAGTGCAGAAAGAAAGCCAAAGGGATTGACAAAAGGAAGCTTTTTCCATATCAATGTTATGACCCCATGTAAGGTTTCTGATACACTGAACTCTCAATTATTTAGCTTTCTGTGAATTATGTGTAAGAAATGGGGGCTTGCAGGTAGAGAACCCCTTGGTTTTCCATCTGCCGATATAAATTGTATGCTCACTTTGATGGAGGTAAAGCTTAATGGCAACAAAAGTCTTCATACATTTGGTTCCCAATCGAAAAAGTAGTTTCGTGTCTCAGCCAACATCCTCTATTATAAGGCAGTCTAGGACATGATTATAGTTAACTCATTTGAAAAGGAGTGTATGTATAACAGATCGTTTTACTACTCCTTGTAAGAGACAGGCATAAATCTATAAATTTTTGTTGAGAGCAGTATGGTAAATTTACAAATTGACTTATTAGATAAATTTACAAATTTGACCAAGCTAAACTTTGAATGGGCTTGGTCAACACAATGAAAAGTGCTGTAGTTGATTTTATTTCAGTTCCATTTCTATATTTACTGTGTTTCTTCTATGTACAAGGCACCATGCTAGGCAAGAGAGCTTCAGGCAGGCAAATTTCAAAAAATGTCTACAAGATACATGGATTTTGATGTCATGTAAATGGCTTTGTCTTTGGAGTCAGTCAGACCTAGGTTAAAGGCCCAGCTCCATTATTTATTGTGCCTTGTCTAAGTCTCAATTTCTTCATCAGTAATGTTAGAAATATCACTCTCACAGAGCTATAATGGGAATCAGATGATATGATAAATGTGAACATCCTTGATAAATGACCAAGTGTGAGGGTTTATTATGGCAGTGAGGTTACCAGTAATTTATCTGGTAAGAATGTTCACGGAACTTCCCAGTTGGTTTTTACTCTCTGAGTTACTTGGCATGTTCTATGATATGTAACAGCTCCAACAGGCAGGGCATGACCAGAAATCACTCTTGATCACCTCGAACCAAAAGTACCATAAAGATATTTTTGGAGATGATTCTAGTAATTATTAGAATTATATATTATGTTCAAGTACCATGTCAGTAAGAACACAGATGTTTACCCTCTTAGACATCAGTTTGAAAAACAAACCTTTTCATTTTGTAAAACTTATGTCTACATTCCTTGCTTCCCTGCTGCAAAGTTTAACTTTCAAACTCAGTGTATACCACACCTATACTCAAACAATGGAAAAAAGAAAGCATCGATGCAGAGTGGCTCTTCTGAACACTTTAGCAATAGACTCCCTTTTTCATAAGATTTGGGTTTAGCATAGATATTTTGATAACTTGAAGGAGAATTAATATAATGCTACTTATTCTTCCCATCACTCAGCTCTAAATTGTATAATCTATTCCACAATGGCAACTAGGAATGTGGCCTTGGACAAGTTTCTTCTCTCCTCTGAGGCTCACTTTTCCCATCATAAAATTGGCATAGCGGCCTTCACCAAGAACATGGCTGGCACCACCATTTTGTGAATTTATGCCTAAAGTCACAGAGAAAGAATTGTAAGTTTATCAGTTCTTTGTTTGGATTGTCTGTTCACTGCTTCCAAAAGTATAGATAGTCTAGACGTGAGTGCTTTGACTTGCATAGTAATTTTAGCTACCTCATGTCACACCCAAATAAGATAGATATATTGTGTGTCGAAAAGTAGACTGGATTAGTGGAGAGCAGAAGGGCTGCCTTTGTATTTCAGAGAATCTGGCACTCTGCAGCTGGTGGCTGCTTGGTCTTCAGGCCTCAAGATCTCTCTCTAATCTGGTTGACTCTATAGTGTTCCATCTACTGTTTGTTGATGGGATCTTCTCAACTCAGAGATACTTAAAACACACAGCCTTTTCCTTCCTGATTCTAGGCCTATCTACCTGTTCACTGCTTTTTGTTTGTTTGTTTGTTTCCATAGCACCTCGTGGTGTTTATGAAAGGATCCTGGAGGTGATTGGATTCTCAAGGTTGTTTCCTTGAAGACTACCTCCAGGCTTCCAGCTGCCCACCTACGATAAGGATAGGCTTTTTTTCGTACAGGGTTCATTTCTGGCTGCTTTTGAAAAATCCTATATTGAAAACTGCTTCAAAAATCTAACACTCTTGCCTACTTTTCATTTAAGAAAGGTTATAAACATAACTGTCTACAAAAGGACCTTCTCTCCAGTGAATTGGATGTGGTTTTTTACAGCCTAGAGTTAGAACAAATGCACAGCCACTTCTCACTTTTCTCTGCACTTCTCAAGAATGTGTTCTCAGTTTCCAAGATGGAATGAGAAATAATGAATTGCTCTTACCTGCCATCTTCTCCTCTGACCCTTCCCCCCTTTTTACTTTCCCTCCTATTACTCCCCAAACATTATTTCTTTTTGTGTTTTGCAACTCCTAAGTTCTCAGCCTATAATAAATGGTGTTGGTTCCTGCTACTCTGTCCTTTCTTGGACCAAGGAAGATGGTAGACCCTTCAAGACTTTCAAGTAGCAGCCAAACCCCAAAATAGGAGAAGAAACATGGAGCCTTAGAGCATGTAAGAATCTGAAGTGTGCACCATTTTTTTCAGAGGTTATCTATAATATTTGAGAACTGTATTTTCTACCAAGAGGCTGAACTCCACATCTGAGACATAAACCTGTTAACAGATCTGCAGGTTTTAACAACCTCCATAATTCTCTAGTCGGGAGGATGTCTCAGGGAGCCCTTGGCCATGGTCTCATGTTGTCATGGATACTTTAGTTTCTAGTATTGAAGATGGTCTTGATGCCAGCCCTTTCATCATTCTCCATGCTCAAGAGCAGCCCAAGTATTGATGCTTCTGGATCACATGTTCTGTATGCAAGAGAAAGATTCCAATGCTGACATACTATTCATGGAATTGTTCTTCAGGAGACAAGTTTCACAGCATTTATTCATCTCACTATGTATCCGTCCATCCTTCTAAGCAGCCAACTAGATAGTTCTTCCATCTTTTCATTCATCTATCTGCTCAAAAAATATTTACTGAGTTCCAACTATGTTCCAAACACTATAGTAGGCATTTTGGAGGAGCCGAGATAAATAAGATGTGATCCCTGCCCTCAAAAAGTTAAACAAGGGGAGAAACACAGTGATAATGAATACATCTTAATTTTAAAGGATAAATAGGAATGACTAGAAAGATGTTGAGTGAGATAGACAGGAAAGACCATTCAAGGCAAAGGGTATTGTTTGAATAAAGGTGCAGAGAC